GGTCCTTAACAGATGCGGGCGTGAGTTAACCGGGCGCTGAGGGCGCCTAGTCTGAACGTCGATTGGTCCTGAACCTCGATTGTAAAAAGAATCACATTTCATCAACAATAAATTCTAAATATCAGATCTCAGTGCAACATGGGGTAAACAACAAATCGTACTGATGTTTCGAAAGCGATACAGCGGAATACGCTTTCACTGTGGAAGAAATTTCGTGAAAACAAAATGCTATCGATACGAAGTGCGCCGTCGAGTAAGAGCTGCGAGAACAAATAAAGAAGCGTTCACGTCCAACTTACCCGGTCACATGGAAACTACAAGAGCGGCGAGAGGCAGCGGCGCGACGTCATTTCACTAAATGTATCGCTTTGTTCTTACAGCACCGAGAGCATTTAACTTGTCCGACCCCTACGAAGTGACAAATGAAATGTGCTCAGATGTATTTCTGGAAAAACTTTAGGTGTAGCAAGGTACTTCTACCGCTAGTCTGGCTACAGTTCAAAGGATTCCTTTCAACTTTCTCTATATACTTCATTCTTATCTTTGTACACGTTTCTTTAAATAATGACTTGATGCGGTAAAATAATTGTTAGTGTTTTCAGATAACATCTAAAAATTTGAAGTTTGTGCTTAAACAAAAAAAATGGGTGCGTGTATTTATATGTACGCGCGTGAGAAGTCAGACTTCTTTGGTATGATTAAAAATAGTTTTTTATTGCATGCAAATAAATAATTACAATAAAATAATAAAAAGTCTATAAAAGGAAATAAATAATAATATTATGAACGCACCATCTGCATTCTTTATTGGAATCTGTAACGGGCGAATATAATTGAGAATTGCCATCTGTAATAAGCGATTTAGCGGGCAACTTCAAAGTTGTGACTTTTATGTTACAGTGATGCGCGAGCATCTTAAAATTTCAATCTCATCATTTTTTCCTAACGCATAAGCATAACTTCAATAAATAAAAAGAATTAATATTTAGGACACATCTTTACACAACATTCTAAAGTCTGTAACTAAGCAGTCCCAAAGTAAGCAACGCATATACTATGATACTTAAACATACTTTTGTAAATAAATACACATTATACAGACACTGGGTGGACATCGAACCCATACCCTGTGGCGCAAGAGACAGTTTCACTACCCACTACGCCAATCGGGTCGTCATGTCTTAGTATTAGGATACAGATGTTTGTTACTAACGCGACAACGGTCAATTTCTGTGCGATATACAGGTTGATTTTATAGACGGCGGCCATATTAACAGAACATATGCAGAATTTGATTTTAAATCTGAATCTGGTACGTACTTGTGACCTCATTTTTTTTTTTCAAAGATTACTTTTAATTTTTTCAAACATTATGGACACCCTATTAGAAATTCTCGCCTTGAGACTCAATACATTAACCTAGCCGCTGATCTCACATGTGCTGTTCGCTGTTTGGTTTGTTGCATCTGTGACTCTTAACGCGATAAACAATGTTTGAATTGATATTTTTCTGGTTATTTCTTGTCAAAATAAAATATCAATCTTTTTTTTAATTATAGAATAATCAATGTACATTATGTCAAAATACTTCATCTAAAAAATCTACCTGTATACATTAAAGGTAACAAAGGTTAGTAACTGCTGCTGAGTTTCGCCACCGTACAACCCGTCAAACTGCCAAATACCCTCAACATTACCTTGATGGTTTTCAGTTCTCCACTGTGGACTGTGTGGTGTTTTACGCCATTATTTTCCACGCACAATGAGCGCACAAGTGAAATGAATTTTTGTTCATGACAAAAACCAGGCAGACAACGCATTTACAACTATTCTGATGTTTCCAGTGTCAATGTGGCCGTCATTAATTATCATCAGGGAAATCATCCTGCTATCCATCCACTTGCTAGTTTGCTACTTTTTTTTCCAAATAAAACAGCACTCCGACAAGCAGTTTAAGTTATATTTTCTTGTTTCGATTCGTGAGAGCTAGCCGGCCCTTGTAAATAGACCTTGATCGCTTTAAATGCTTTGTTAAAAAATATATTTTATTAGATTACTCTTTCATTATATATTATGTGATCATCTGGCAGGCTTTAACACCTAACCGATTACAAATGCATTGCATTAAGAAAATAGGCCACAGTTACCCCACTTACCAGACGAAACGCGAAAGTATATTACATACATACTTCTACTACAATCTGATCTTCTGTGAGGTCGTGGTAATTCCCCAGACGAGCCTGTCCATTCGTCCTTACTTACGTACTTTATACTCTATAAATTTAAAAACCACATAATCTTACAATATCGACAGTAAATCAATAGTTTTTGCATAAATTGTAGAAGACGGAAACAATATGTTGAATGTAAATTAACCATATAATATCGATTATCTTGGATGCAGGCTTCTTCGATATATTAGAATTAGGTTTGCAGAGCGTTACGCTAACCGCATAAAACTTTCAGCAGTGAAAAGTTAATCGCATCGTAAATTTCAATGCAGCGTAGAAATAGTCAAGTATTACGTTAATTAAAATTTATGCTAACAGCATTTAGTGAAAGGATAAAACATAGATAAACACTTTTATACACAGCAATGGTCGTAAAAATCATAAAATTAACTAAAACAGATCCAATCTTACATAACAAATTAATATTTATCTCTGAAAAATGACACAAATCCACCAAAAAGAACTTAGTGTTATATAGAACAGAGGATTTTAAAATTAATTCTTTATAGGAAGGATAAGACTGGACAACTTGGGCCAATTTGTAGCTGTTACTTAATGTACCAAACAGTTATAATATAGATAAAGAGGGCCTTTTTATATTAACTGTACCTTAAATTGATTTCGATTATGCGTATAAAACTTTCAGATGAAAGACGCATATCTATAGAATGTGAAACTTAAACGAACTATAAATTGTAAACACATCATTCTTAACGTTTTTGTATATTACAAGAGGTCTATTCACATAAAATGTATAACGTAATATGAATTTGTTATAAAAATGTTATAATGTTATGTTACAAACCGTTCACCTTAGGGTATCAAAGTTAATTGCAATGTTTTGTGATTTGGGTCTACAGGGCATAATGCTTAGGGAATAAAATTACATGATAGATACCCATTACATGCTGAAAATAATAAATCAAGACCATATGACAAAGACGGTAGTGATAGAAAAAATATAAGAAAAGAAAAAATAAATATAAAAATCGATACAATTTGTTTAAAATATTGAAAAGGTGATCAGTTTTTATTTAATATAATAATTATGAAGAAAATTTGCACCGTTCTTCTAATCTAATAAATACTTGTAAATAATTACAAGATAATTTATTCTGATTATCTACTTGTGCTAATCTAGTAAGAATTATTGAAACAGCTTATATCTTAAGCCGTGGAATTAAATTTTCTCAATTGTTACTATTAATTAGTCATAAACGGCTTCAATTAGAAACTACTAGTTACTGAGGAAAATATATTAAGTAAACAATATGTTTACATTTTATTATATTGAGTTTTACAATTATTTTTAACGATAAATATTAATATATTTTCCTAAAAAAAGTACCCCAAATTATTAATTTGCACAACGTTGCATTTTTATACAATGATTCACAGATTATATTATTTTTGTTTTATTTGGTGAAACAATCTTTAAAGTTCCTTGTATGTGTGGTGGAAGACAAGGTTATGTGAGATCTGTCTTAACCGAAACCCCGTAATCCTGTGAAGATCATTGGTTGCCCTCTTGATTAATGATAAGCTAATCGAATAAAAGATGCCTCTCCATTTTGGCACCCTGTGCTCAATCATAAAACACGGAATCAGGATCAAATCTATTGTTAGCTTAGTTCGTGACAATTTTAGCTCGTATTTACCAAAAATGGGTGGGAAGATTTTTAATCGATCTCTCATCCAATTCATAAATACTTTCATCGTAGTGGTTCCAATCGGCTTACGCTTGATTAAGTGTTTGATGTACCATATTTGTATTGCTCATCGTGTAAGTGTTTTTAATGATACGATACGCAGATAAGAAATAAAATTAGCGCTGTTTTACTTTTGCGACTCAACATATCTTTCACACAAAAAGGCAATTTGTTTCGATACGCCATTTTTACGGGAATGATCCAAGCTTAGTCACCTATCCACCGAAAATTCCTGTAAATTCAAAAAAAAATTAACACTGAATCGGATAGTAATTTATGATGATATTGCTGACTTAGGTCAGCTTCGTTTATTAGTGATAATATTTTTATGACATTAAATATAAGAAATTTTCGTGTAATAGTAAGAGGCAGGGGCAAGTAAGTGGAAGCATAGAAAGAAACCGGGGGTATTTCCCTCGACGCGCCTGCCAATGTCCATAGGCGGTGGTTATCACTTAACATCGGGTGAAGCACCAGCTCGCTTGCCGCTTTCTCATAAAAAAATCATTGTTAATGTTCCTTCTTAGTGAAAAATCACTAATTTTGATTTCACCTCAATTTTGATTTCACTTGAATTGGTTTTGATAAAACTATCAACATAATCCTGTATCATTTCCTAACGAAATAAATACTAACTAAATCACATGATTTACTGTATATGAAGAGTTGCAATTTACTACTAATTCTTATTAATTTAGTAAATATTTAATTTAACTGAGGCAATTGTAAGAAATAATTGGTAACTTTAATGATTAATATCTATACTACTCATAATTTAAATCATGTTATCAAATTTATTACCTCCGGCGGCAAGATTTGAACTTAGGTTGATAAAGTGCTGTAAAATTAAATTCAAGCACCCCGCCACTTAGTGCTACTTTAACTTACCTTACTTTACCAAAGAAATCAAACGTGTGTCATAAACACTTGTGATGTATAACATGATACAAGACGATTAAACTTGAAACGATAACAGACACTTTAAATTATCTGTGTCTTTGAAATGTTTCCATTTAGCTCCACATGACCAGTTATTTTGCTCGTCTTACTCGCGTTAAAAATGAGTTTCACGTGGTTTCCAGTTGCCGTGTTATTGACGACATTCGTCAATTTTGGCATATCAAGTCAGAGTAAGTAATAATAATAATAATAATAAAATATCTTTATTCACATAGACGCTTGCGCGTTCTTATGAAACGTCAAAATTTTACAAGAAATGAACACGTTCGTAAGTTACCACCGGTTCGGAAAGCAGTTTCTGTTGAGAAGAAACCGTCAAGAAACTCAACAGTTGCTCTTTTTTAAAAAAAATCAGTTTATATGTACATGTACAATTCTTGTGAACGTGAGTATCAACAGTATTAACCCCACACATTGGCGTCGTCAAGATATTCAGCAATAGAATAATAGGCTTTAGCCATAAGTTTACTTTTAATTTTTCGTTTAAATTCATCTCCTTCAGTCAGTACCTTATAAACTCTTCCACAAATTCAAATTTTACCAGGTACCGCTAGCCTCTGATAAGGAAGCTTTCGTTTGTGGTCTGAAATATATACTTCTAATCCATTGAGATTTATTGTCACCTTCTGTGGTGCATAAGGGCAGACTACGAAAATTGAGGTATAATATTTAAAAAAATATGATTAATATGGTAGTTCCGCAACATCCATACGTGGAACATTATCCATGTAAAAACGTAATCCACGTAAACGTATCCATGGAGATAAAAACTTCAAGGCGTCACAATTCTCTGTTCAGACACACTGCTTCCCCCTTGCACTTCTAGCAAGTTTAATTTAAAAAAACACATCTTTTTTTTTTAATTTGAAAAGTTGCCAAGCGAGCAGGTGGGTCACCTGATGTTAAGCAAATACCACCGCCCATGGACATCTGCTATACCCGAGGGTTGCAGATGCATTGACAACCTTTTGAAAATTGGGCTCCGGCCATCTCACTCACCAGACGAAACGCGGAAATATTATACTTCCACTTTACGCCGGTCTTCTGTGAGGTCGTGGTACTTACCCGGACGAGCCTGCCCATTCCTGCAACAGCCGGGGCTGCTGCGTGGCCCTACCACCGTCGCTTTATTTTAAAAAAACACTCTCGGAAATGAACTCTCCACTATTCCTAAAATATTCATTAAAATGTTCATTCAATTATAAGACAAGATAAACCAGCAGAAAACCCCTTTTTCAGAAGTAGTGCATTGTTACTATGGTTCCTGGGCTACATATCGCCCGAGTTTGGGAAAATTTGATGTGGAAGATATTGATACAAGCTTATGCACTCATCTAGTGTACGCGTTCGCAGGAATAAACTCTCAAGGAACCATTATATCTCTAGATCCTTATCTAGACCTGCCTGAAAACTGGGGCCGTAGTAAGTCATAATAAAATTATAAAAGTTAACGTAGTATAATGTAATATAGCTAACATAGTTTACCTTGTTTAGACAAGATTTATTAAATATTTCTCTATATACACAGTGTATAAAGATAATTATTACGATAAAAAATTAATTTCTATTACCTCATTAAAAAAACATTATAGCAATGTAATGTTTGGTCATTAAACATGCATATTTATTTATAATATGTTAAAATAACTTCTTTTTCGTCTAAATATGTATTGTATATCTTAAATTGTATAAATTTACACAATAATTTCAATTTAATTTATAAATAAATAAAATGTATGCATTTTTCACAGACAATTTTGCTAAATTCAATGCTTTGAAAGTTGGTAAACCAAATCTAAAAACAATTTTGGGTGTTGGAGGATGGAACGAAGGATCAGCAAAATACTCCAGGGTATAGTATGTTTATTATAAGTCAGTTCTACTTATTATTTAAACAAAAATGTGATACCATTTTCTTTATCGTTTTCTATAAAACGTACGTAAAAGAGAGCAAGATAAATGTATAACTCCTGCACTCTTGAGCAAAAAAATCGATTAAATCGTCAGCGGAGCTTAAATATCTTTACAAATATAATATTGAACTGAGCTTAGAATTACAGTTTTCTTTTTGTTTTATTAAATATGTTTTAGTTTCTAAGTAATGTATACATCTTTTCCAAGAATACAGACCAAAAATTATTCTTGTAATTTCTAGTAACCTGGAGTAGTATACTTGGACCTGTTTACAATGCCCCTAAGTAGGGATTGCCGTGCCCTATACAAAGCCATTTACCTGACCTACCCTTATCAGGCAGTCGTCCAATGTCATCAAAACGTTAACCAGTACACTTATTTCTTATTATTGCACACGAACATTGCTTAAAATGGACACATCTATTGAAGAAGTATCTCAAGCGGTTTCCCTATCGGAACAAGGCCAGTGTTTGCGAAAAGTGGCTCGTGTGGTAAATATCAGGCAGTCTGCTATATCCAGATATTAGCGCCGGTAAACTCTAGATACAGTAGACTGCTTTAACCGAAGACGTGGATTGTCAATACTTCGCTCAAAATCAGGCTCTTTCTGGCATGCTAGCTCCGGCTAATAGCCCTAAGTAGACCACAGCTCATCGAGCAGTCTTGCTACGTTTTGCAAGAGAACACGTGAACTGTACGGACGAACAATGGAGTTCTATTCTCTTCTCAAATAACAGCAGATTGTTTCTCTATGGTAGGGTTGGAAGATAATAAATCTTCGGAATACCTGGCTGGCAATTCGCCCATTGCGGCATTGCTGCAAATGATGCATTTGGACGAGGTTTCTTGATGGTGTTAGCGGGTATTTCAATTGAAGCAAAAACCGAGTTGGTTTTCATCGAATCCCCTTATATCTTAGAGAGATATAAGGGGATCATGTCATTCTTCATACCTGCATTATCTGTGAAAACTTTGTGCTAGTGCGGGATAATGCCCTTCTACATACTGCAGCTTCTGTTCGATGTTACCTGCGGAAGGCTAAAATAGATTGTATGGCCACTCCATGCCAAATCTATTTCGGACAGCGCACAATTCGGACTTAAATCCACTTCACAAATATTATATTATTTTATATAATAAATTCACTTATGTGACGAGTTTAAAAGAAAGCTACAAGATCAGAGCTTCAAGCCGCGCTCGCTGAAGAATGGATTTTTCAACCAAAATCAGTGAAAAATAAATGTGGACACGCAACAGTCCTCGCTGGTGCACGAATGAGCAGGTCCATCTGGGGAACTACCACGGCCTCACAGAAAAGTGGCATGTAGTGGTAGTGTTACACTTCTGCGTTTGACTGGTGAGTGAGGTAAGCAGGGCTTGATTAATTAAAAGTGCCTCCTTTTCGTATCTGCAACTCTACGTGTGTTGCATATATCCATGGGCGGCGGTTATCACTTAACATTAAGTCAGCCGCCCCCAACTTCTAACATAAAAAAATTGTTATGCTATCTATGAAGAACCGTTTAGGTAAATACGGCGAGGGGCCCGCCATTCTTTTGTGAGTGAATATTTCCTTATTTTGAAGCTTAAGACGATTTTTATTAATTAAAAATGAATATAATCGCACTTTTAGAATTTTACGATTGATTTTTACGACTGTATTTTAATCGTAAGCGATTTTTTTGCTAATTAGTGCGTTATGTACTTGATATAATATGAGTATAAAACGTTTATACTAAAAGATTTATTTTCCTACTCCATATAATCGACCCAGATGGCAGCCAGCCCGCTTTTAAGGAAAAACTTTACAATAAGCGCTGTCAAGATTATTCTAGATCATGGATTTGATGGCTTAAATCTGGACTGGGAGTATCCCAATCGCCGTGATTCAGTTAATGGTGCAGCTGACATAGAAAATTTCGTCTTACTATTAGGTGAATTGAGGCAGGAATTTGATAAGCATGGGCTTTTATTAAGTGCGGCGGTAGCTGCAGTAAAGGATATGGCGTCATTGTCGTATGATATACCAGGTATTAGCAAGTAAGTATCTTTGAATTTTCCACCATTTCTCTTGTAAGTTAAGTAAAATGCAAATTGATAATTTAAAATTTTCTTAATATACGTCTATACTACAACACTTTTCGACATCAATCATCATTAAGTTATATAACACAAATGTGTCATACTTAACTTATACCTCCCATTCCATTATATTCATGAACCTTATCTTATTTTCACATCGGCGATATCATTCTCCTATTTACTAGCCTTCGACGTTACTGTTGCCTAGTAAATTATTCCCTGATCTCCAATATAATAGACACTTGTCCAACTTTATATATTAATGTATCACCCTATATTATGTCCCATAGCTGGGCATAGTCCACCACGTGACTACTGCGGATTGGCTTCACATATCTTTGATTTTTTTTCTGTTCTTATTTCGAAAATATGCAGGAAACAATCCCCACGATGTTTTCATTCACCAATTGAGCACGTGATAGGTCAACACCAAATTAATAATATCGTTGGTTTTGGTACGGGGATTTTAACTCAGGTTGCTACAGTATGAATTTAAAGCGAGTTAAAAAAAAATATTTTTTTCCCATATCTATAGAAATTATTGATGCCAAAAACTAAGGGTTTTTACTCGTCAAGTTCTTTTATACTTAATATACTGATAACTATTTTGTTTCCTACTATGCGATATTCACGATTAAAAGACAAAATATTCAGGCATCTTCTGAAAATAAAGTTTAAAGTCTAAATAATTACTAATATAATATGTAAAATGACACTGAATTCTGTTGTTAACATCAGCCCCAACTGAGCACAAGTTAATATTGATTTTTTTTTATTTATTATGTTTTTACACAACGATCGAGCGACACATATTGATGTTGATGTGTCGGTCGATCGTTGTGTAAAAAAATAAAGCAACAAAACAAGAAATTAGTGTGATTTAGATACTAAAGTGATTTAAATTACATGCGGTAATGTTGAGGAGAGTTCATGCAATGCAGATTGTTGTTTATGCAGATATTTGGATTTGGTCAATATAATGACGTATGACCTGTACGGACCTTGGGATCCAACCACCGGTCACAACGCTCCTCTACACAAAGGCGAAAGTCAAGCACAGTTTCCCAAAGAACAATTATACACTGTTGATGTAGCCATTGATTATTGGATAGGCAGCGGTAAGTCAATTTTGTTATCAAAAATTAACTTTCGTCAGGTATTTTAGTGTACTATGTAAAATTGTAACAAATTCATAATTGCAGAAACTTATTTTAGTATTATAAGTTGCTCAAGAAGCAAAAGGTGAGAAACGTCTGAGCGAAACTTTCTCACCTACTTATTCATCCCTCTGTATTTCCATCTCATAATGTGGTAGTTAATACGAGTAGGTACTCTAGAAATGGGCACGTTACAGCCACAGTAATTCTCTATTAAACACGTGAATAACTTGTTTGAGAATCACTAATTTTCTACCCTTGTATTTAAAAAAATAATAATAAATAATATATATTTCAAGACACATGTTTACACAAACTAAGCAACGCCTTTACTATAGGTACTAGATAACTGATAAACATACTTAAACGTGCTTTTCTTCTGTAAATAAATAATTATTATACACTCAGACATACACTCAGAAACTGGAAAAAACACTTGGATCATCACAAAATATTTTTCCCGTAGTGTGAATCGAACCCACACCCTCTACACTGCCCACTACGCCAATCGGCTTGTCAAAATTATAAAATTGTAATTAAAATTTAGTTACTGTCAAGTCGGTTTGAGTTTCCTCCTTCAAATTTGCAGTCGAAATTTCTTTATACAATATAGGCTTATTTTAAGCTCTTATTGAACGTCGAAAACTACCTTACAATGTATGTACCTCCACATCAACACTTTTTTTTAATGTGAAAAAGTGGCAATTGAGTGGCAATTGAGGACATTTGCAACACCCGTTTGCAAATGCGTTGCCACCTTTAAATAAAATACGCACTGAATAAACACTTCATTTATGATGGACATTATTGAAATTATTTTTAAGGTTGTCCGCCCGAGAAGCTGCTGATAGGATTGCCCGCGTACGGGCATACTTTCACATTATCCAGCGCTGGTGCAAACGGAGTAGGCGATCCGTCAAACGGTCCCGGATTAGCCGGACCCTATACGGCTACGAACGGCAACATCGGTTACAATGAAGTATGCCCCGTGTTGTTCAATTATTTAAGTTTTATTTGTTTTTATTATATCTCCGGGTTAAAGAGTGGGGAATATCCAATTTCGTAGATGAAATTGCAATGACCTAACTCTACTGAGTTACACATAGGTCAATATTTAATTACAGATAAATGACCTAAGTCCATCTTATAATCCATATATGTCATAAGTTCACATAGCTTGTATACTCATTCAATATATGTGAAAAATACTGATTTTCAAAAACTGAAGATGTACCGTACCTTATATGATTTAAGAACAAACAAGCCTCCATTTCTTAAAAAAAGCAGAAAGAGTATACTACTCAACCATTTCTGTTTTTAATATTAATTATATCGGGCTCTTCTGTTGTGTATCTGTTTCTAATATTAATTAGAAGTATTATATTTATGTAACATTATTACAGTTTTGCTACAAATTGAAAACAGAAGCGTGGGACCTTCGTTACGACAAACTAGCGATGGTCCCTTATGCCGTCCAAGGAAAGAATTGGGTGTCATATGACGACGCAGATTCTCTTAGAGCTAAAGTCGAATATGCACTGAAGCAGAACATCGCCGGAGTCATGGTGTGGAGTATAGAAACCGATGACTTTCGCGGCGTCTGCAGTGATGAGAAGTATCCGCTACTAAAATCAATCAACACAGCTTTAGGCAACATTCCCAACAACGCAACGCAGACAACCATCAACTCTACTGCCACAACTCCATCAATGACCCCGACTACCCCTAAACCGACAACTACAGGTACGTCTTAGCATTTCCTGTTTCGAGAACTATAGATCACTACACATCCTATCATCAACATCAGATCATCGACTATAAATCCTGGGTTGAGCGGTAGAGAATATCTTTGGGCATTTAGTCCGACCTTTGTCACCTTTTCTTAAGGTTATCAATAAAGCATAAATGAATAAATAAATAAAATACTGTAATTTAAGGACGGTTCCTTAGTGCTTGTTATATTCAAAACCTAAGCAAGCGAGTATGAAACGCAATAGTGTGTTAAAATCAAAAAAGCCTTGCGTTTTCGCATGTTTCAAACACAGAAATCAGTCCACACTATTTTACAATACTGGTTAAACTGGTGAATATAGTTAGCTACCGTCAAGTTTGAGATTCATATTCCTTTGTTTTCTTTTTCTACAAGAGGATAAGATCAAAGCTACTTTTACTTTTTTAATTATACCACAAACAACATTACATTTAGATGTTTCTATTTTCAGTACCCAATACCGGCGGAACAACGGCCCCGTCTTCAATTTGTAAATCGGAAGGTCTCCAACCAGACCCGGCAGATGTCACTTCTTTCTACATATGCGTCAGCGATATAAATGGAAACTTGATTCCCTATAAATTCAAATGCCCAAACAACCTTCACTGGGATAACGCAAACCTCATTTGCAACTACCCGGATCAAATAAAAGTGCTATAAATATAATTGAACGTAAATATTTTTGGATTATGTCAATTTTCTACACAACGATATCTAGTCCTGAATTAAGCAAATGTAACGAACGGTAAATGGAACTAGGTAACTTATACAAGTAAACGTACTTTTTTTTATAAACCTGTATACTACATAGGCATATGAAATCCGTTTGACCGCAAATAATTGCAATTTATTTAATTCAATACTTCTTTATTTTATAATTAATATTTACAAAAAATTACATAATTTATGTACCTACATAATATATTTCATTTTATTTTAACACAGACACTATTGACGGAAAAATGAAGTACTTACTATCAACTAGATGTATCTTTGACTCAATTCGTTTTATAATCCTCACTTTTGACACACATTCGTGATAATAATATTACCTTACTTGAAGTTTTTTCTAGTAAAAAAAATTATTTATCATTTTTTATAAAACAATGTAGATTTATGAGCCATTTAGCTTAGTGGTTAAAGCATCTAGGCCAGAATCTGAAAGACTTGGGTTCGATTTCTGCAGCGACAAAAAAATAATTAAGCTTTGTATTGATATTTCGACAAAATACAGCACATTAAACTAAAAAAATAATTTGAACATTTTATTTACATTTGAATGTACTAAATAGGTGCATATATATTTTTTTTATTTCATACTAAGATAAATTATTAAAAAATTGTCGGCAGATCTACTCCATCGTTGACTATCAGAGTATATAATATAAATAATATATATATGTGAATTAAGACTAAATAAATAAATAATAAAATATTTATTATGCTGATTCATATAAGCTAATTTTAATTCGGTAAAATACTATGACGGCCTTTTTATTCGTCAGCTTTTACACAGGACGTTGAGAATGTTCGATAAACCTATTTGACCGGACGCACGTCGTGCAAATTGTATAACAAACGCTGACGTTCTCGCACACGGCCTAAAAAATGCACAGACATTTTTCGACATTAATTTAAACGCCAATACTTTTGTTGACAAAACATCGAGATAAACGTAAAATAAATTGTTTTATTTTTATTTGCATATTACTCGGGTTGTATAAGGCGCACATAATAATCGCAATAAATATAATTTATGTTATTTCAAGTTGAGCTTTTAAAAACCAAACAAATCAGTAATCGAAATGAATGTTAAAAAACAACTACGCTATCATAATTAAATGTATGATTTCGAATCGTTTAAAATTAGGTCATTCGTATCAACCTACTAAATATAATCTTAGTTTGTAATAAATAAAATTTACTTTATATGCACGTATTATATATTCAAATGTAAATAATTCAATTAAAAAATGTATGTCTTAAGTAATGTGTTAAAATTATTTCTCTTGTAACGTACAAATTTACTAATCGACCCGTGTGAAATTTTCGCACTGTATCGTAATGAGTCATTGAATGCCCTTTTACCTTTTAATAGTTTTTAGGGTTCCGTAACCAAAGAGTAAAACCCTATTACTAAGACTCTGCTGTCTATCTGTTTGTCCGTCTGTCCGTCTCTCACCAGGCTGTATCTCATGAACCGTGATTGTTAGAAATTTGAAATTTCCAAAGATGATGTATTTCTGTTGCCGCTATAACAACAAATACTAAACAGCCATGATTTGTCGATTTTTTGTCGTTTTGACATATAATGGTACGGAACACTTCATGCCCGTGTCCGACTCGCACTTGGCCGCTTTTTTATTTTATTTTATTTAGACTACTACTTTCAGTCCGTACACTGTTAAAGCTTCATCTATAGCAGAACTCGTGGAGTTTAAATCAGCCCAACGCGATAAGCAGTGGTGCGCATGTGCATACAATTGCGTTATCTGTGGCGGACGACAAATTTATTAATGTGATGGTTTTATCAGACATTATTTCAAATGGTGATGGCCGCAGCTTGTAGCCGTCGATGGATCAATTCTGGTGTTCTGCTTGTGGTATAGAGATAGGTGTCATCGGCAAAAAGGGCAAGTTCTACATCTTTACCACGCGATATGTCATTCGTTTAGAGCGTAAACAGGACTGGGCCCAACACCGACACTTGATGATTCGTTAATACAAATTAAAAAAAAACTGCGGTCATTTGAAATTGGGCTTAACGGCACTTTTTCAGACTTTACTTAATATTTTTCTGAATTGAATTACTTTACTAGGCTATGGAGCCCTATTTGATTTGAATGCATTTTCATGACTTCTTATTAGAAATTTTGATAAATTTATATTAATATTTATAGATAATTGATAAGCAGATGTGAAACATCTGCTTATCAATTTTCGCATAATTAATTAAAAGCTTAGTTCTGAAAACAGTTGGGTTGACACACGAACATTTGTGTTAATTTCAACTTACTTGATAAAGGAAATAACAAATGATACTTGTAGTTTGCGCTATGGTTACCATAAGTTTGTAATTTACCACATTTTGGAGAAAAATATAAGAAATTAAGAGCTAAATAACGATTTTTTCAACTGACTCCATAAAGGAGGAGGTTTTCAAATCGACTGTATTTTTTATGTTTGTCACCTCAGAACTTTCGACTGAGGGAACCGATTTTGAAGATCCTATTTTTATTTGAAAGCTGGTGCTTCCCATGTGGTCCCATATCAATTTCATGGCTATTGGATCTCGAGCTCTGGAGATACTTAGGGAAATGCCGAAAATCAATTATAAAATGAATACAGAGCGATATATTTGAAGACGGTTTTGTTTTTCTTAAAAAAAATGGACTCGATATGAACAATCAAAGGCTTGCTCCTTAAGACTTCCTAACTTCCTAAATTTTAAATCAGGTGTCTTGGTACATTGTTCAAATAATTTGTACACACCTTAGACAATAATTATGTTTTCATAAATAAATTTATTATAAAATAATGTAATTACAAAAATCTTCAATAATGTATCACACATATACACTCAGAGACCTTTTTAAAGAGATTAATATACTCACTGTTGCGTCTCAATATATTTATTGTAATATTTTGTATGTTAAAAATAATATTAATAGTTATCTAAAGAATAGTGACAGACATAAACTAAATACTAGAAATAAGGACAAACTAACTACGCCATTGTTTCGTCTACAAAAAGTAAACAGGTCGTTCATGGGGCAAGGTGTGCGCATGTATAATAAAATCCCACAGTCGATATTAAGTCTGCCACTTGATGAATTTAAACGAAAAATTAAAAGTAAACTTATGGCTAAAGCCTATTATTCTATTGCCGAATATCTTGACGACGCCAATGTGTGGGGTTAATACTGTTGATACTCACGTAGGCTAAAACAAGACTATTGTACATGTACTATTATATTGTAAACTGATTTTTTTTAAAAAGAGCAACTGTTGAGTTTCTTGCCGGTTTCTTCTCAACAGAAACTGCTTTCCGAACCGGTGGTAACTTACGAACGTGTTAATTTCTTGTAAAATTTTGACGTTTCATAAGAACGCGCAAGCGTCTATGTGAATAAAGATATTTTATTATTATTATTTATTATTATTACATATTACATTTTTCTTTCACGTCCAGTTTTAAATTAATGTTTTGTAATCCGAAACAATTTAATATTTTACAGTCATATTACAAGTATAATCCACTAAATATATGTGGCAGGAGGAATAAGGCGCAGAACTAACAAAGAAGTGTAATCCAATGGTTACAGATAACCTAGCATAAAAATATAAATTAGGTCAGGAACCTAAAGGCGCGCAGTCTATCTCTGTTTTCGATTCATGAAAAGCACTTTACGGGGCGTGGACACCAACAGCTGCCCTTTCCATTGTATTTCTTTGCAGACTTTTGTTCAGGGTACGTGGCGCATTAGTTGTGAGATCCTTACAATGGAAAGTAGACGTTATTTGTCGGGAAGCTTCACATTGCTAATACCTTCCTTTTATAGTACGCATAGCAGCCTCTAACTTATCCATACTAATATTATAAATGCGAAAGTAACTCTGTCTATCTGTCTCGCTTTCACTAAAAAACTACTGAACCGATTTAAATTAAATTTGGTACACAGATAGTCTAGAGCCTGAGAAAGGACATAGGCTATTTTTAATTGGAAACAAGTGTTGTAAAGGGTTGAAAGATATTTATTTAAAGTCTTCAACGCGAAAAGCTAGTTTAAATATATGTATCATTATTTTTTATTTTTTTTTATGCGAAAAGTTGTCAAACGAGCAGACGGTTCACCTGATGTTAAGTGAATACCGCCGCCCATGGACATCTGCTACACTCGAGGGTTACAGATGCGTTGACAACCTTTTGAAAATTGGGCTCCGGCTACCTCACTCACCAGACGAAACGCGAAAGTATTTGTCATACTTCCACTTTACGCCGGTCTTCTGTGAGGTCGTGGTACTTACCCGGACGGGCCTGCCCATTTGTGCAACAGCCGAGGCTGCTGCGTGGCCCTACCACCGTAAAATTATACGTATATCTTGAAATAGAATTCAGGTATCACCTCCAACCAAGTTCTCGCCTAATCGTAGCGAAAGGGCTTTGTAGCCGTGGCTTGAAAGTGAAATCCCGCACATTAAAGTCAAGAGGAAACCACTAAAGATTAGTCCAAGAGAGCCACTCCAAGTGCGCTTACCGAGCCAACACTGGATACGTGCATATTAAAAATAGTGTTGAGCCGTTCTACCCTTCGTTACCTAGGAGCCAAGTCGCAGGTAGTGATGGTATTGGGTTTGGCCACTCTTTCTCTCTCCCTCCCTCACGACTCGGCGCGATTGCACCACTGATGCAACAATGATGTGGCCTCATTTCACGGTATCTGCACAGTGAACTCGTTACCGTACAAAAAGGAAAGGCGCGCTTTATGTTCCAACGAGCCTTGATCCGAGGAAACATGTGTTAGGCGGCCCGGATTTGACTTCCCGTGATCCTACTGACATGTGCTTTGGCATAAATACAGTGGGATTTTAGTCTGCGAGTCGGACATAACCCATCCTTGCCCCCATGCATGAGATACGCAATTAATTGAACAGGTATTTACCAAGCAATCGTCCCTTTTGCCTTGCGAAGATATGTTTTATCTCTTTGTATTTTTTATCGCATTTATTACGGGGAGTGTTCTTAGGAGCTTTTCGGATTAATGCCTGCTGCTGATTTACATCACCATTCGACGCGACAAACTGCTAAATACAGTTGCTACTCCCTCGATGGTTGTCTGTCTATACTGTGCGTTTTTTATTTTTCTTTGGGACCTTCAACGACTTTGAGACTGTTGTGAGTGTCTATATATCTGTGTCCATATAGAGTATCTGTAGTGATTGATTAATTCATCAAAAGATCTTGGTAAATTAACTAAAACTTCATCAACACTTTTACACATCTCGGTTAAAATAATAGCGAAAAAAGTCGAAGTAAATCACCGTTTTTTAAATTACGTTAATTGGAACATAGCGACGTCATTTTTTAAGTAAAACATAAATTAAGACCAACGATGAATATAAATTAAAACATTCCGTCGCAATAAATGTTCCGCCATAAAGAGACCATTAACGATACGGTATCGTTCCCAGTTCGATTAACGGTAGATTTTAATTATGAAATACTCCGCATCGCCCGAGGCACGCGGCGCATAAATTTCGCTGCGGACAATTGCGAGACTGAACGTAACGAAATTATGTAAAAAAAGAAACTTTGGCAAGTAGGTCAGGAGAGTAAAGGGGCGCAGTCTCTCCTCGCGCGACGCATGGATTGCACTACACGGGTCGCGAACCCTCGAAGCCGCCTAGTACACTCCGCTCCGGATCATCTTCCACAAGGCCATGCTGATATCGACCTTACGTCGTCCGCGCAAAGTGCATATCGCGTTCGTGACGACTGTACCGTTCCTCTTTTGCAATTGCGCGTTCATGATTCCACCAGGTACTAATTACAAGACACGACGCGGAAGCGCCACTAGTTCAACTGAAAAAGGCTTAAAACAATGAAGGAACTGCCAACTTAAACCGAATAATGAATTTGAATCAACATCGAGGCCTCGTTGTATTCGTTGGATAAGTCATAGACATAAATATAGAAACAGTTACGCGTGTAATTTATACTAATTTTTTTTATCGTTGTTTTCTTAATATCGAAAGTTCAAATTTCATTACAGAATTAAATAAATAAAACAAACTACACGAAAGAAAATGAGTATGTATTAGTAGTTAATGACAAATATTTGCGTTTCAAAGTGTTCGACGAGGTAAATAACTTGTATAAAATAAAAATACATAAACAATTCGAGACACCAGTCGTCATTAATGCGCTTTCAGTCCGTAGACTATAAAAAGTTACACTGGATTCGTGCAAGCTGAAAAAGCTACCTAATTGATTTAAAACATTTTAAAAAGTGTCCGTCGTAGGACTGCAAGTCAGAAATGAAAAAACCGTTATCAATTGCACTACTACTCTACAGAGCACTATTGCTCTAAAGAGGTATAAGTTCTTAAGTACGCACATAATTTTTTAATAGAAAATACCGTCGAGGTCCGACGGACCGTAATATTGATTGGTCCCATATGACGTGAAGACTTCGCAGCCTGAACAGCAAGATGAAGGCCGTAGGAGTCATCTTCAATGTCATTATCTTCTATATATATAATTCTACTGTACGTGTGTTGTCACTAAACTCCTAAACGGCTGGATCGTTATGAATGATTTTTTTGTATGCATTTGGGTGGCGCCCTGGATGGTTTACATTCACAAACAGCTCTTTAATTTTTTTTAATTTATAAGTTGTTATCGGATTTAAGTCGTATATACAGGAAAACGTCTGTCCGGTCCACTAGTAAACATATAAATATTTACTTTTAACATTGCTATACAAATTGAAAATGCTGAATCTGAGAGGAGTCACAATACTCAGTGAAAGGTGCACCGTCGTCACTTTGTCGCGCTTCAGGTGACGTCGCTAAGTGTCACGTCTAACAATTTGTCTTTCGTTAATCCCCGAGCGGGCTTGAAAGAAATACGAGGCAACAAGTATTTGTTAGCGTTGCCGACCTGCAAAGTGCTGCATGACGGCGGCAGTGTGACATGGACACATTCTTCACACGTTACAAGCGTCTTGACCTAGTTCGTGGATTGGTTTCCTTCAGCGCGTTTTATTTCCAGTACCGAGTTTGAGTCACGTTTGTTATTGGGTAAAAACTACGTCGAATCGTTTTTTGTTTAAAAATTATTTAACGTAACTGCTACAAATATCCCAATGTCGGGCATGGTCTTGTACCCTCTGTATTAGGACATAGTCCACCTCGGGACCCCACTGCGGATTGGCAGACTTTACACATCTTCGAAATTTTTTTTTTTTGAATAAGTTTACTTCCTCACGATGTTTTCCTTCATCGCTGAGCACATGATAAGTCAGCACTTAAAGTTAACAATTTCATTGCTCCTGGTACCGGGATTTGAACTCAGGTCGCTAGAATATAATTAATTAAAAGCGAGCGGCCGGACACTTGAGTAATCACAGCTCATTGATTTATTTATTACTTAATTTAATATTATTTGCAATGAATTAAATACCTCTAATAACACACTGAGTTACGTAATTATTTAACTAACCCCACCTCGAAATCAGAATGTCATTAGACTTTTAATTTAAAATTTTAATTAATTTTTTATTACAAAATTAAGTTTTATTACTAAAGAATTAACTTTTAGTCATTGTTAACTTGAACTCTAACTAGTAATCAATTTTATTATATTCTAATTGTTATTGTATAACACACATAAGTATCCTACGTTATCAGATATGGGGGTCAACGTAATAGGCACATAAAAAAATAATAATTGGTTTTGTGTACCAAGCGCATACCGTGACAACATTCATATTAACATACATCATATAAAAATAGGCGAACTTTATCATCATAATTGATATAAATTCGAAAAATTTCATCTAACTTAAACCTTAAATGGGTGCGTACAATTAGACTTGTTAGACCAGCTACCGTACCTACCTACAGATTTAAGGTCTGAATTTGTCACATTAACGTTACTGAGTGGTTTTATTTTCATTATTATAAATTAATGCTATATAAATAACAGTGATTTTAATTAGTATTTATTATTAGTACTTATTTTCCAATTAAAACAATGAAAAAGTGTCATTCATCATATCGTCTAAATGCGAACTTGACTTCACTTATTCAATAGTATTATAGGATACTTGAAAAAAAAGTTTATCTTTTAAATCGGCACTGAAAGAAATGTTGCAATTTATTTCCGCTATCCGTAACCATCGAATGCAGAGGCAGAGAAACTGCTATTGTTGAGGGCGTATAAAATTTCATTCGTAATTGGGACCTGTGAAAAATGGTGAAATATTTTACGCCTTCAATGTGATACAATCGAAACTAACAAACTAGTACTATATTTTCTCGATTAAACTTGACTCATATATTTTTACTAAACCAGTATGAAAAGATTAGGTTTTTAATTTATTTTCTGCCATATATACCAAATTTTTCAACTTTAGCTCCTGAAATGTTTTTCGTTTTTTTGTTTTTTTTTATGTGAAAAGTTGCCAAGTGGACAGACGGTCACCTCATGTTAATTGAATACCGGCGCCCATGGACATCTGCTATCCCAGAGGGTTCCAGGTGCGTCGACAACCTTTTGAAAATTGGGCTCCGGCCACCTCACTCACCAGACGAAACGCGAAAGTATTATATTTCCACTTTACGCCGGTCTTTTGTGAGGTTGTGGTACTTACCCGGACGAGCCCGCCCATTCGTGCAACAGCCGAGGCTGCTGCGTGGCCCTACCACCGTAAAATCGTCATTCCTAAGTTATCACTGTGAAGTCTTAATTGACTGTATCACTTCCAGATTTTAGAACACATGAGATTTAAATCACCAAAGCATTTTTTAAGTATCCGTAAGACAGTACTTTGACACTAGCGTTTTTTATTTCAAATGTTTATCACAAACAAACATACTAATCATAAAAATGTTGTGAAATTATTGCAGTAATTGGCATCTAACTTATTTTAACAGAAAGCCACAATGTCACCTATTTTATATATATAGTTCTTCAAAATTATGAGGAATCGTAGTAAGAGATGTTGAAAATTGTTGGCTTAACTACCGTCCTAACAAGTGGACGTGGCAGTACTTCAATACTGTTGCATTTTTTAACTGCCGTAGACGTGTATTGAATTTTAAAACGCTTCCGTGATGAAAGTTTCCGCTAGTACGAGTTATCTGTCTCGTATTTATTTGAGAACTAACCAAAAAGGATTTTACTTTTGAACGGTTAGTCGATCAGCTTACGAATCGTGTATTATTAGATTTGCTATTTCTTCAATTCAATTAATATATAATAAATTAATGTTATTTCTTTGCTAAATCACAATGTGATAAAGGGTATTAATGAATCTTTTCGGCAATCGAACAGGCGGTTTGCCACAGTTGCAGATCCGTTGCCAACATTAAAAAACGCACGTGTATAATATAGTGACCGCGGACACTTTAGAGATTCCAATCAACTACCACTTGCCCATAAAATTTATATTTTCAGTATCTCAATACTTTATATATTTGATGAATGGAAGACCAACCTATTAAATATGTTATGATATTATACGTAATTACATTGCATAAAAACTATTTGAAAATTATATTTTCATTGGTAATAATTATGTAAAGATAAACCGTAAATTTATTTTATCTTAAAAATAATAGGAAATAAAAGTATTGAAAGCGTTTTCTTTCTTTTGTGTTAAAATATAAAAAATGAGTATACGAGTATTTACGTTCATAACATCTATGACAACAGGATGATCTTAAACAAATTTAATAGTTAGACGATCTAAACTTGATCATTTATTCAAAAATGAAGAATGAGCATTACAGCAAAGGCAACGGAATATGCGAAGAACATGATCTTATCCAATACTTCCGCTACTTCCTGTCTCTCGTCGTATTCGTTGTTCTCGGATTCCATTTCCTCTACGTTGCTCAATCTCGGTGGGATACAAACGCCTGAGTCACCATCCCCCTCAACGATTAGGTTCCTCTCTCCGAGACTCTCGTAGATCCTGCAGATCTGTAAGGTGCATTAAAATTTTAAGCAATTCGTAAATATGTAATTGTTAACATTTCAAAGTACTTGGGGGCACTGTCCACCTCGCGGCCCCCACAATAAGCGGACTTTACATATCTTCGAAATAATTTTTGTTATTATTTCGAAAATACCCTGGAGAAATGAGGAAACCTCACGATGCTTTCAATCACTGCTGAGCACGTGATAAGTCAGCACATAAAATTAACAATTTCATTGATCGAACTCATGTTGCTCGAGTATTAGTAATTTTTTAAAGAAAAGAATTAAAGGCGAGAGCCACTGACCTATCACGGCTCTTATTTCTCCTGCATTTTCCCAAAATACTTTAATTTTAACTAAGTCGAAAACGAATAAGTTATATATATTATAACATAGTTAAGGAAAATATATTTATTTATACACATATTTCATTTATACGTATTTATATATTTTTTTGTTTATATCCATAGAGACTGTAACCTGCGTTGGTAATCCAATAAATAAATAAAATATTACTCACATACATAAACTATATACCACTACAATAAATACCTTAATTTCGGGTAGACAAAACAGCGTCCGCAACCAGCGCTGAATTAGAATGGCGTTCACCAACGATTTCTTGCATAATTTCTCCGCCGCAGATGTCATTAGTAACACATGCACAATTAGCGCCAAGAGTATGCCAATAAGCACTACAATGTACAGAACCACTGAAAATTAATTAAAAGTGCTTTTGGTACAATTATCTAGAGAATCTCTGTTAATTCTCGTTAAGTAAATGTAATGTTTACACATGCAATATCTTCCCATGCAATTAAAGGTCAATTTGTGTTGTTACTACTATTTATATTTAAATATAGGAACTATATCTATACTTCTTTAAAACAGGAATTGTTTTAATGAAGTTTATTTTTTTTTCTAATCGTATCAATGTTAATTAAGTACTGCACCCCATTTTGTGTATTGTCGTTTTTACTTTAGTACGTACTATGCGTATATTTATATACTCACATATTGAGGGGATTGTGTGGCAAGGTATTAAATAGTCTATGTAGCAAAGTCCCATGCAAATTACTATGGTACATCCGGCGTAAAACCACACCCGGTCCATTTTAAGCGACTCAGTCCAAAAGGACATTAGAACAAACGTTACTAACACTGTAATAAAAAAGGAATATTTTGAAGCCTTTATTGAATTTTAAATTTACGTTAGCAGCTCTTAAATAATTATTTACTCTAATAAAACGGAACATATTTTCTTGGTCTCTAATAATTTAAAAACTAACTAACATACACGGCCCTTTACTATTATCTTTAACTTTGAGAAGTTTTTACGTATTTTACAAAACGTGATAAGTTGTTTTGAACGTGACTTAATTCCATTAGTGTCACGTAACTAATGGAATTAAGTCAAGTTCTAAATAAATTCATTAAAAAGAGGTTTACGCTGCCTTAGTTTTGCTTAAACTCGTGGTAAATATATCAAGGTTGTACATTTCCTCATTTATTTACCATGTACTCAAATTTATGACTTGGTTATCCATGGCGCACATGGGGCCGGGGCCACATTACTGTTTGAGGCGTACGCACTGGCAGCCACTTTCGGGGAAGTAACAGAGCCTCACAGAAGATCAGCGTGAATGAGAAATAATATAACTTTATTACTTTTGATAAGTGGAAACACAAGGTCACTGTTAAAGATTGGGGACGCATCTGCCAACATTCGGGAGTTGAAGATCCAGGGGTGGCAATAATCATTCCATCATTCCACCTAGGTGGGGCCGGCACAAAGTGTGAATCATGTTGTAAGTGGTTTGGGCTTTTTTTACCCAGGCCGCCTGCACGTCAACCACTCTTTCGAAATAAACACCCAGATCCAGAACAACCCGATCCGAACCCACGACCCCCGACGCCGAAGTAACGATGTAACCGAGCTATAGTGGCAGTTATCAATTATCATTAAGTAAATTCCCAGCTTACTTAACTTTTTCATGTAAAAAGTAGTTATAGTAGAGTAAGTGTTTGGAGACTGGGGTTAAATATACACAATTACTTACCTAACAATGGGGTATAGAAAACTATGTTGTAAGATGAAGCTCGCCTTTTCAGGTTCATAGTGATAATTAATCTGTCCCTTTGAATATTGCTTGTGTTCGGGTGAGTTTTAATCCAAGACGCCGCTGATGAAACATATTGTTGATAATCTATATCCCATTCGTTTTGTATCACTTCATCTATATCTGTAAACTGAGTGATATGGCAAACAATAGTACATCAAAATTAATATTTCTCGATCTATTATGTACTCTCGAAGATATCTAAAGTCAATGTTAATAAACATGTGAGCAACACGCATTCTAAATATCACTATCATTTCTATGTACAGATATTTCATTTCATATGAAAACACATTTCCACGTTTAAAAAGTAAATTTACTTACGCCTTCTATATCGTTGTTTTTTGATACAGTAAGGAACATATGCTCATGAGATTCCCATGGTTGAATTACGATTGAGCAACTGTACTCATCTCGGGGCCACCTTATTAACAATAATATAGCTAAGTTATCATGCAAGGGTTTAAGTCAATATATTAATGTGGCTATGTGCTAATCAATGATAGATCTCCTCGCATACCTGTTAAATGAAGTTGAATATTGGAAACACCACGTATTGACTGAAGTCTGAAAATGGAACAAAGCTTTCCCGCTGTTTACCATCCATATTAAATCGGGATTATTCGTGTCGAGTATACCCAGGTCGTCAGAGCTAAAAGAAGAAAGAAAGAAAGAAAAAAAGAAGAAATAAATTTATATACCAGAAAAAGGACGCACACGACAAATCTAAACTAAAGGAATTAGTAAGTGAACAGAAAATCACTGACATTGCGAAGAAATAAGATTACAATTGAGAAATCGACATTGTTGGCTTTAAAAAGAAATGTACTGAAATAAACGATAATCACTTGAAAACAAAAAAAGTCGGCCTCCAAATTTGCCCCTGACGAAATGTTAATCTCGTGGTTCCATTAAATTTGCTCGGATTCCAGGCCATACTGTCGTCCATCCAATTCTGCAACAGACAGATATGTGTTAAGTAAAAAACTTTGCTTAAATATAATAATAGGAATTTAAACAAGTAATAAAGTTTAAGAAATATTAAAGCATACAGAGTAACAAAGAAATAATACGAACCATAATAACAGATAATCCTGTTGTAAGTTTGGAATCGAATGCATTGTAGAAAATGCTTGTGATCTTAATACCAAGTGTCACGTTCATTTTTTGAGCCGGAGGTAATTGAGGCATTCTTCCCATCAACAACGTTCTCTTCAAGCTATCCGAATTCGATAGTTTTTGTTCGACGACTTCGGAGTTTGGTGTTTGAGCTGAAAAATTAAATGGACAACTTTCAATAATTTATAAATACTAGGAACGACATTATAGTTACGATATTATACGATATTATATTTAGTTACGATATTATAGGGCGTGAAAAACATATAGTTTTTCCAATAGATACTTCGCACAATAATACTGAAAATGTTAAAGATTACAAAAGTGTTTATTCGTTTTCGCGACGGAAATCGAACTCAGGTTGCTCGAGTATATTGAATTTAAAGTGAGTGCCCTTTTTTTGAAAATCATTTGAGATTAATAAGGTTAATTATACGTAAACTTGGAACATTTATACAAAGCAAAGCTGATGTTTAATGTAACAAAGTCTTCCTATTACTTACCATCGGTGATATTGTCCCGCGGCGACGGACAATCGTATAAGAATTTTGCCTCAACTCCGCTCCATGAAGCGAAACTGAAGTATTTTATCGGAAGCGGGTTAACATCGTAGTAACTTACTAAAGGCAAAGGCTCATCTTCTCTACCGACTTCCACTAAACCATCTGTGCGAATTATTAAAAAAAATATTTTAATAAAATGGTTAGGAAAGTTATTGTACCTATGTTCGAACTTAAACGTTTTTCAATTTAATTTCGTTACAACCTTGAAATTATGATATGACCAAGTTTGTACCTTCAGAAATTTTTATGTAAAACGCTCGAAACTGTATCGGTGATAGGACATTGAGCGTTTTGGAAGACGCTTTGGCATTATTTCCCTTGCTTCGGCGAAGTTGGGTGAACATGTTATTCCCTCCGCCAATAACTAAAATACCGTTTTTTCATTGAATAAAAGAATAAAACTTTTAAAATGTAATTTCTATTCTCTATTTATTTATTTATTTATTTATTTATTTATACTTCATTGTTACACCTTAGGCTAAAGGCTACAATGGGCGGACTTAATGCCTAATGGCATTCTATTCTATTCTATCGTGTATCATTCTTGAAATTTAACGGTGGTAGGGCCACGCAACACTGTTGCACGAATGGGCAGGTCCGTCCGGGTAAGTACCACGACCTCACAGAAGACCGGCGTACAGTAGAAGTGTTACACTTCTGCGTTTCGTCTGGTGAGTGAGGTAGCCGGGGCCCACTTTATTTAAAGGTGGCAACGCATTTGCAACCCTACGAGTGTTGCAAATGTCCATGGGCGGTGGTTATCACTTAACATCAGGTGAACCGCCAGCTCGTTTGCCACTTACTCACATAAAAAAAATTAAATTTAAAAATGTATTTAAAATTACTTTAAAAGCTATTAAAATACCAAATTCAATAACCAGGCTCGCATTTTACAATGTGGATATTTTCAAAATGTCCAAAAATTTAAAAATCCGAATATTAAGCCATTCTAAAGTACTATACCATATAAAGTACTAGTAGTAATAAAGTACTACACCGTGGCACCTGTTCGGTTAAAATATGTTTATAACATTTCACAGATTATGACAGAAATAAAATAGATATTTAAACAATCGCCGGTTCTTTTAGTTTTTCGTATTAAAAAAATACGTCACATACTATACAGTCGAGGTATTTAGGACTCTTCCTATATTGAATGCCAGAGTACTCTAGAAATAAGAATCTCACCGATTTCATAAACAGGGTCACTGACTGTTGGCTGGGGTACAGTTGATAGTAAAATATGGCCATTACTTGCTGCCAAAATGGCTAAATGCATCTCGAAAGCAACATCTGGATCGGTTTTTAAACGCCTACGGTCCGCAGCATCAACTCGGTAATAAGTATCATAGTTATAGCCACGTTGACTTATGTGTTCCTTACAACGCAAAGCCACTGTAAGCAATACAAGGTTAAGCTTATGCATGCATCTTAACAACTGTTAATTAATAATCAAAAGATGAATAAATACTCTCTGAAAAGTGAACTATTTACTTGCTATCAGAATTTGAAAAGCTTTCTCAACATACGCTGCAACAATAAGTACCATGTACTCATTAGTCTTGTGTCACTATAAATAGAGACGTATTCCTGAATATAGCCCAACTCAGGCCAAATAACGATATCATATTAAAAACTCATCTCATTATTTAACTAAACGGAATCACAGGCGAACACCAATTTTTTTAATTTATAATACAATAAATATTAACTTAATACTGATAATAAATCCTCTAATCGAAAACAAAATACACCTGTAAATAATAAAATATTATATAATTTTATTTAAATGGGAGAGATTACCATAAACCGAATTTTAATCTTAATGATATTTTATTTTAAATGAAACTGTTTTCGCTGATATTATATCGCTGCGTTTAAATTTTAATCAGTAATTTATAATGTGTAGTCTTTGCGTAAAAACACAACATGATTACAATTAATTATTAATTAAGTTACTTGGCTTCATTCTCTCCCTTTATTTATTCTGTTATTTTTTTTTTATTACAAATATATATGCAATTTAGTTTCAGTTGTGTACAAATAAATATGAATTATCAATTATTTGTTTTAAATCACTAATTATAGTTGAAGAGGTACTTACTGTCGTACGTGAATGTGTAATTAGCTGATGTCAGTCTAAACCAAATAGAAAAGTAAAACACAACCGTGAAAACATTCCACTCCATTTTTACACAAAATTACGGAAAACCATAAGACATAAACCATATACACAAAAAATATTAGAATAGAAGAGAAGAACTTTTCGAATATTATCAAACGAACTAACAAAACTGGAATTTCAGCAGGCAATAAAGCTTTATTCTCCCAACAAATTAACAACACCAAATATACTTGTGCACTAAGCCGGCAATGTCACTCGAAGTGAACTTCGTTTTTGTCGCCCCTTATTAACTTCACTTGTGTGTCAACTAGCGTGGTTTGTGTGAGTCACTAGAGAGTGACGTTTAATAAATATTTGGAAATGTTGAACACACATCAGGGATAATATAACGCTTTAAAATGAGAGCAAAATTATGTTATGACTGCTGACCTGACCGTCTTTAAATTGGGACAGTGTAATTTTTAGGGTTCTGTATCCAAAGGGTAAAACGAGACCCTTCTACTAAGACTTCGCTGTCTGTCTGTCCGTCTGTCACAAGGCTGTATCTGATGAACCGTAATAGTTAGAGAGTTGAAATTTTCACAGATGATGTATTTCTGTTGCCGCTATAGCAACAGATACAAAAACAGAATAAAATAATATTTAAGTGGGGCTCCGATGCCGTTTTATAGATAATGGTATGACTCCATGGCCCAGTTGCTAAGGTATCGGCTTCGGCGTCAGGGGTCGTGGGTTCGATTCCCACACGGGACAGCTATTTGTGTGACCCACAGATAGTTGTTTCGTATCTGGGTGTTTATCCGCGTGAAATTTATGTTCGTAAAACGTCCTTACAACACAGGATAATGTTCCTAAAGTAAGTGCAATGTTTTTACTCATAATTAAAAAAAATTAAAATGGTATAGAACCCTTCGTGCGCGAATCCAACTCACATTTGGCCGGTTTTTACTTTTCAGCTTGCGACGAAATTAACATTAAAGCATTTTTTAGTTGAGTATATAGAAACATTGTATTAGTAGAGCCCCGATACAGGTTTGCGGTATACAATCAATGGAATGGTCTTGATTTGGCTTTACAGTATGGTCACAACCACACAGAAGAGCAGTGCAAAATGAAAACTTTTGTCCTGATGCTAGTCTGATGAGTTTAACAATTGCATGTCCAATGAGTCATTGAATGGTGTTTTGGAAAAAGTATTAACAGTCTAATTAATACTCTATTAATAGAAAATTATTAAAAACTTTCATTAGTAATCGGATTCGAAATGTAAATCATGGAATTGGAATTATTAATATGAAGGGGTAATGTTAATTTGTCTGCTTTTTAGTATGTGTATATTTTTTATTTATAAGTTCTAAGGTTTTAGCAAAAAAAGTCTTAACATGTATCCATCAAGCCAGGAAAAACAAATCGTAGCAAAACAGTTGACATATTCGGCACTTGTATATGAATTGGTTTCCAATATTAAATAAAAAATATACAAGATGTCGGTCATTTAAGTTTTTTTTGTATTTTATATTCGCGGTAAATTTAATGTGACCTTTAATTTGTTCAGACCGATCAAGAAATAGAAATAATTCACCGGGCATTTGATGCCAGTGTATCATACACATAACGGAAATTCATTTATAGTTATCATAGCGGACATGAGATAAAATACGGCTTCCGTGATATCACTACTGCCGCTAAATATTCTATTTGAATTACGATGTTTGCCATGTGTTAAGTTATATTTGTTTACGGTCATCCATTTCGATGTATGTGAATAAATACATCGAACGTACATATTTGTTTAATCACTGCCCCGCTATGTACACTTGATTGATCTCAACACCAACTCCAATGTACTACATTCGCGCGTCGTTGTTTTTTAATAAACTATTACTTTCGTCAGAATAATGATTATTTTTGCCTCCAAAGAAAAGATAAATTTACAGTCACGCGTGTTTCACTTTTTATTTATATTCTCTGGACGATACTGAAGTGGTAATGTTAACGAAAGAGGCGTGTAACCTGTTTCTTTTGTATATAATATGACACATTTAACAATATGTGAAGTATTTTACGGTTCTAGAACCACGCAGCAGCCTACGCTGTTGCACAAATGGGCAGGCTCGTCCGGGTAAGTACCACGACCTCACACCTAAACAACAAGTAAGTGACAAATACTTTCGCGTTTCCTCTGGTGAGTGAGGTAGCCGGCCCAATTTTCAAAAGGTCGTCAACGCATCTGTAGCCCTCGGGTGTAGCAGATGTCCATGGGCGGCGTTATTCACTTAACATCAGGTGAATCGTTAGCTCATTTGGCAACTTTTTGCATAAAATACCATAATACCAACCTAAATAATACCTTCACCTCGTACTTAGCGATTAACCCCCTGGAAATTAACAACAACTGTTGGCTGGAAGAAGTTTTACTAACTTTTCAAAAGAGTTGGTTCCGGTTATCTCACTCACCAGACGAAACGAAAAGTATAATACTTCCACTCCACCCCGATCTTCTATGAGGACGAGACACTTTCTGCTAAGTTACATGAAAAACGGGTTTGGAAACCCTTGTAATAATAATAGACTCAAAATAATATTTACTTATCCGGAAACAGTAAAAGCTGTGTACCTTTGGAATAAAATAACACGGCGATATATTAAATGAAGTGACGTTCTATTGTTTAGTGTTGCTCTTTCAACTTCCAGGTGACCTGGTTAGTTCGACAACGCTGCGCTAGTTATTAATTCAACCCGCTTCAGCGACTCCACTTTTATTATTTACAACGTTCAACGCTAGCCCCACTTTTACATAACTGAACAAAAATAGTGCGTATTAAATACACCCAGATGTATACTTCTAAAACAAACTCTCATCATTGTAAGGTAGACAGGTAGGAGCCCTTTAACATCTATCGTAGAAGATGACTAAATAAAAAACCAGCCAAATGCGAGTGGGACTTGCGCACTAAGGTTTCCGTACAATGATCTATGAAAACGGCAAAAAAAGTCAAGTCTGTTGTATGGGCCCCACTTAAATATTTTTTTATTCTGTTTCAGTATTTGTAGTTATAGCGAAAACAGAAATACATCATCTGTGAAAATTTCAACTCTCTATCACGGTTAATGAGATACAGATTAGTGATAGACGGACATACAGACAGACAGCGAAGTGTTAGTATTAGAACCCTAAAGTTGAACCTTGATGGACGATCGGATTGGGATCTGATCAAATGGATGATGGTCATGAGTGGACACGATAGAAGCGGCAGTAAGGAAGGTATTAGGAAAGGTCCATCCTTTCCCAAAGCGTGTTATTTAATGCGCAGTTCAGAGGGGCAGAGATGTGCTCTGTTTGAAATCCTGGAGCCCCTTCCAACAAACTGAGTTTTGGCGCCGTTCATTAACATCCCAACATAACCCAATCTTCCCCCGTTGAGATAAGGGATCTTATTGCATTCAATTTCACTGTGAGCCACGCAACAGTCTTCGCTGTTGCACGAATAGGAAGATCTACCTGGGGAAAATCCTCATGGAAGACCGGCACGAAGTAAAATTGTTATACTTCTTCGTTTCTACTGGTGATTGAGGTAATTGGGGCCCACTTAATTAAAAGGTGGCAACCCTACGGGTGTTGCAGATGTCCATGGGCGGCGGTTATCACTTATGTTACAATCCACTGGCAACACTGCTAATAATATACGAGCAATAACAATTATACTTAATAAACATTTAACCATATCTGGTATAATATGATATAATAAACCAACCTACAGTCTTTAATACTTACCATTAGGTGAACCGCCAGCTCGATTGCCAACTACTCAAATAAAAAAAAACAATTTTGAGGAGTTCATTACACAAAATTTTCAATTTGACATCTACCTAGAAAATACTTTTTACTCTACTTACATCAATAACCATTTTTTACTAACGAAAAACAAAATCGACTTCAAATATCTCGCTCTGTATTCATTTTATAATTGATTTTCAGGAGTTCCCTGAGTATCTCTGGAACCCAAGATCCAAAACCAATGAAATTAATATGGAACCACGTGGGAAGCACCAGCTTTCAAATACGAAAAGAAAATCCGTTCTCTCAGTCAAAAGATCTAAAAATACAGTCGCATTGAGAACCTCCTCCTTTTGAAGTCAGTTAAAAAATAGACAAGTAACAGCCTACATATGTTTGACTGCTAGGCCAATGCTTCCTCTGTATATCTTGGTAGCGTCGTATTTAATTTTTTTATTAGATCAGTATATGACCTGCAATCTTAATATGTGTCCGTACCGTCGTTGCTAGTAATGTAAAGGTTTCGAAGAACATTATGTATTTCAACGTTTATTTTAGTATGCCTCCATTAAATAAAATATGGTGGTTAGGCTTTTATTATTTGCTTTCATGTTTTAAATTCACAACACTCATGATATAAACGCGATAAGATAGATGCAATTGGACAAAATCAAATATCTTACACGATAAATCCGGAGTCCAGCGGCTTATTGAGGTGACCTCAGCTGACATTAATTTAATCGTATCTCTTACGAGCCATAAGTGTACCGGCTGACAATTTATGATGTACTTAGCTCAGCTTCATTGGAGGTTTATGGCATTAGCAGAAAGTAAAATAGTATTCCATTTAAAGACTTCTTGCATCAGCACTAGAAACATACAATTTTTTATTCGGCTGTTTATACTGACAGGAGTTTGGCATTCCGATGTCATGTAGGTTAATCCCAAGATAATTTCAGGTTTTTAAACCGTTCTTTTTTATTTTCGATTCGCCTTTTTTCTTTATAGTAGTATCGTTATTTATTTTTACTGAGCTATATCATAAAAAGACAAACCTTTATCCATTTGTACACAACCTGTATTTCCTTTAGAAATTACTTTACAGTGTGAAATAATTTCATCAATAATCCATACTATTATTATAAATGCGAAAGTAACTCTGTCTGTCTGTCTCGCTTTCACGCCAAAACTATTGAACTTATTTAAATGAAATTTGGTAACCAGATAGTCTAGAGCCTGAGAAAGGACATATTTATATATTTTAATATTTTTAATTGGAAAATAGT